CAGGGGCTTCCTGGAGGCGGAGCCCGCGCCGCCCGCGCCGCCGCTCACCAGTTCCCCGAGCCCACGATGCACACTTTCAGGGGCGCCGCTGCCATGGCCAGGCCGGAACGCAGGAACCCGGGCCGTGCCTCTCCAGCCCGCCGCCTGCCTCCGCCCGCTCGGCCTTGCCCGGAGCGGCTCCCGGCGGCCCCTCCCCTCCCGTGGCTCCGCCAATGGCCGCGGCCACCCCTGCGCGGACAGCCCGGGCCACAGCTGATAGCTGCGAGGGCCCGCCCCGCCGCTCCCGAGAACCACTGCGCACGCCTGGGCCTGGCTACCCTCCCGCCGGCTCCGGCACCGCCCCCTGCCCGAGGCATGCCGGAACTTGTAGTCCGCACCCTGTGGCCCTGCGCGCTCCTAGACAGCCGCTCTCGCCGCGCCGTGTCCGGCTCCGGGGCATTGCGCAGCGACTGGCGCGCCCGGCGTTGGCTGCTGAACTCCCCCATCCCGGGCAGGCCAGGCCTAACCTAGCTTGCTAAGCTGCCTCAAGAGAGGCTCCCCAAGTTGATTCCATAGCCGACCAGACTGGGGCGATAGTTCAAAGTGCACACACCTGTCTTGTCAGCTTCTGTCTCACTCATACAAACAAAACATAGCCTGGCACTCCCCAGCGTGTTGGAGAACTGGAATCCTCTGAGGCCTTCTAGAGTTGGCTGGGCAGTGCCTGCACTTCAGGGTTGATACCTTTTCTAGTTGTCAAGAGAAAGATCTGGACGTCCAGGGTGTCGCCCCGCCCTCCTTCTCCTCCTTTCTTTTGCCCAGGGACTGTCTTGTCCTCGGACCAGGTGAGTTTGTGGTTCTGAGTAAACATTATTTATTCACTCTGAGGGTCACTCTCTCCCAGGCACAGTGCTAGATACTGTCGGGGGAGGACAAAATGTTTTAAACCAGTGGTATTCATATTAGAGTCACCGGAGCTTTTAAAAATAGCCATGCCCAGGCTCCACCCCAGACCAGTTATATTTCATGGGATGGGATGCCAGCATCAGAATTCTTTTTAAGTTCAAGAGGAGATTGCAAAAGGCAGCCAAGACAAATATCAGTGGAGAGTGGCTCCAGAGATACTCTAATACCTTGAAAAATACTCAGCCTATTAGTTTAATGCTCAGAGTATTAACTTTCGTTTTTGTTTTTACTTCTACATAAACCCGTTGCCACCAAGTGGATTCTGACTCACAGCGACCCTATAGGACGGAGTAGAACTGCCCCCTGCAGTGTCCAAGGAGCGGCTGGTGGATTCGAACTGCCCACCTTTTGGTTAGCAGCCAAGCTCTTAACCACTGCACCACCAGGGCTCCATAGTTAAAATAAGAGATTTATCTGTATTAATTTTTATATTTACTTGAGAAAATACTTAAAGCGTGAGAGACAGAACATTCTCTTCACTCCCTAACTGATGGTTTGCTCTCCATTATTTGCATTAATGAAAGGATGCCTACTCAGGAATGATGCAAAAGATGGAATATTCAAACACTTGTGTTTATTATTATTTTTGTGTTTATTTCTCAAAATGGGTTTGTCAAGTGAAATAATGAAGTCATGTACTTTAGTAGTGCAGTGGGTTGAATTGTGTCTCCCCAAAATGTATGTTGAAGTCCTAACCCCCAGTCCCTGTGAATGTGACTTTATTTGGAAATAGGGTCTTTGCAGATGTAATCAAGTTAAAATCAGGTCACCCTGGATTAAGGTGGGCCCTAAATCCAATGCCTTGTCTCCTTATAACAGAGAAACCACACACACAGAAGAAGGCCCTGTGAAGACTGAGGCAGAGACTGGAGTGATGCGGTTACAAGCCAAGGATTCCTGGGAACCACCAGAAACTAGAAAGAGGAAAGGAAGAATTCTTCCCTAGAGCCTTCAGGGAAAGCTGTGTGCATGTAACAAGGTAAAAAGAGGTGTTACTCTCCAGGCCTTGCCAACACCTTAATTTCTATCTTCTAGCTTCCAGAACTATAGAAGAATAAATTTCTGTTGTTTTAAGCCACCAAGTTTTGCCACCAAGTTTGCCATCATTCACTACAGCTGACCTAGAAAACTGGTACAGGTAGTATACATTCATTACAAAGGTTTATACCAAAGGAGTCATTTTGTGCTTTTGCCTAAAAGTTTTATATCTCACTCGGAAATTCCTATTCCAGAGGGTTACAACTACACCTGCATAATCATGAGCTATCTGTCTGTTCTGCAGACATCATCAGATGGTATTGATTCATCACCTGATATGCCTAACACATTTTGCCTACAGTCGTCACTTTATTTATTTTATAGGCTAGTTGTAAAGATTAAGACAAAAATGAGGGAGGTGAAACTCATTGTTATGGATTGAATTGTGTCCTCCCCAAGTATGTGTCAACTTGGCTAGGCCATGATTCCCAGTGTTGTGTGTTTGTCCTCCATTTTGTGATCTGCGTAATTATCTATGTGTTGTAAATCCTAACCTTTATGATATTAATAAGCAGGATTAGAAGCAGTTATGTTAATAAGACAGGATACGATCTATAGGATTAGATTGTGTCTTGAATCCATCTCTTTTGAGATATAAAAGAGAGAAAAAGGACTTCATACCACCACAAAAGAAGAGCTAGGAGCGGAGTGCATCCTTTGGACCTGGGGTCCCTGCAGGGAGAAACTCCTAGATCCAGGGGAAGAGTAACAACAAGGACCTTCCCCCAGAGCCAACACAGAGAGAAAGCCTTCCCCTGGAGCTGGCACCCTGAATTTGGACTTCTAGCCTGCTAGACTGTGAGAGAATAAATTTCTGTTTGTTAACGCCGTCCACTTGTGGTATTTCTGTTATAACAGCATTAGATAACTAAGACACTCATGAATGAGGTTGAAAGAATAAAGCCAGTTGCAGGAGAATGTATACAGTATGATTCCATTTCTGTTAGTTCCGAAACAACCATAATTAAGCATGTCACTATCAACACTGTTATGGATTGAATTATGTCCCCCCAAAATGTGTTGTAAATCTTAACCCCTGTACTTGTGGATGTAATCCCATTTGGGAATAGGATTTGTTTGTTATGTTAATGAGGTCATATCTGTGTAGGGTCTGTCTTAAGACCATCACTTTTGAGATATAAAAAGAGTAGATTAGGCAGAGAAACCAGGAAGCACAAAAGAAGGTTGATGCCATGTGGCAATTACCGATTACTGAGGAACAGAGAAAGAGAAGCTGGAAGAGACAAGGATTATCCCCTAGAGCCAACAGGGAGATACTTCCCCTAGAGCCAAGTGACCTGAATTCAGACTCCTAAACAGTGAGAAAATAAATGTCTGTTTTTTAAAGCTACCCGGTTACAATATTTCTGTTATAGCAGCAGTAAGAAACTAAGGCAGAAGCGAACATGCATAGTGAAACTGTAAAAGAAAACTAGGGAAAAATAAACTCAGTATGCTAGATCGTGGTTATGGTGGAGGGGAAGGTTGACTATTCTTTACATCTTTTGCATATACTGTAAACATTTCTGTGTATATATTTAATACAAATTGCAGGGGAGGGGAGAAGATACAGTACAGAAGGGAGATAAAAGCCAAATGAAACACAGGCAGTAAGAACGAGTGATCAGGTTCCCAATTTTGAGATACTCGGTCTTCTGCCAGTCCCACTCCTGGTTGTCTAAAATGGCGGTGCTGATGATGCTGGCCTTCTGTGTGCCACCTTCCCCAGGAAGGTTTGAACAGCCTGGATGACTTTTTGTGACAGTGCCAACTCTTCTGAGACCTGGAGAAACCATAAAGTGTCTATGAAGTCCAGGGAAACAATGTCTCTGACAACATGGCTGGTGTGTGCGTGTAACAAGGTAAGAAGAGGTGTTACTCTCTAGGCAGCTAGAAGTAGCCAGGCAACACGTTTGAAACTCTGCCCAGCAATCTCCTTAGCTAGGTCACTGAGTTCATGAAGTACGTTTCCTATTTTCTGTATTACGGGAGGCAATGGCAACAGTGTTGCCAAACTTCCCTGTATAACCAGGGTCCACTTTCCTCCAGCTCCCGATAGCATTTTCCTGGCTTCTGTTAAGCCCTGCCACCAGCCTCTTCCAGGCCCCTCAGGCTGTCATTGACACCCTCCTGGAGGCCTTTCTGGCTTCTACCTGCTGCCCAGTTGCAAAGTCAGTGTGGCATGCTATAACAACAGCCGCACTCCACTTCCAGGTATCAGAATCTGTTCTGGTTATCACTTGTTGCATAACAAATCATCCGAAAACTTAGTGGTTTAAAAGAGATGGATGGATGGATGGATGGATGGATGGATGGACGGATGGACGGATGGAGGATGGATGGTGGATGGATAGATGGATGGATGGATGGATGGAGGATGGATGGTGGATGGATGGATGGATGGATGGATGGA